TAATATTATTTATTATATATATATATATATATATATATAAGTGTATATATATATATATATATAAAATCAGCCTGAAAGTAAGACATTTTTCATAGTGATCTTCAGAGTTCAAAAATTTATTGCGTACAATACATCTATCTTCTGAGGAGACCAAACCCAACATTAATGCCAAATTTGTACCTGTTCATTCTTTGGATTCAGAAAAAAGTAGTATCTTAAGTAACAGGATCTCTTTCCAGGGGTGAGTTACCCTTTAAGATACCTTAAGATTTTTTTCTGTTATAATATAGGTGGGTAACAAAGAGTAAACTACTTGCTCAAATGTTAATATTCACATATTAGCTCCAGACAATCATTGGTATGACGTACTCCCTAGCTCATGTATTTATTGCCTACGTAGTGTCTAGAAGGCTATGTTTTTTGTAACATTTGTGCTTAAAAATATATTTCAAGAAGCTGTGGACATGATTACCTCCATGAAAAATGCAGGACCTGGTATTGTTTTTGGCGTGTCTGTCTGTGTGTGTGTGTCTGTGTGTGTTTCCTTATTTCCATAGTCAATGAGACAAGTGAAAACCATTTACAAAAACACGTATTTCATGGAGGAATGAGATCTCCGAATTCTTGTTAGATTTTGGGCCCCCTGGCAGTTTTTCACAGTACTGCAGTGGAACTTCTGATTTTGATATCTGATATTCTGGATATACTGTGGCCATGTAGTAGACAGGACCCGGGGGCAATTAGTTACTGATGGTGTTTGATTTCACCATGTAGCAAACAGGACCCAGGGGCTGGTCACCATGGTTACTGATGGTGTTTGATTTCACCATGTAGCAAACAGGACCCAGCAGTATGTCACCATGGTTACTGGTGGTGTTTGATTTCACCATGTAGCAAAATGGACACAGCAGTATGTCACTGTGGTTACTGATGGTGTTTGATTTCACCATGTAGCAAAATGGACACAGCAGTATGTCACCGTGGTTACTGATGGTGTTTGATTTCACCATGTAGCAAACAGGACCCAGCGGTATGTCACCGTGGTTACTGGTGGTGTTTGATTTCACTATTTAGCAACTTAAAGGTGGATTCTTCAGGCTTGTTCAACTAAAAACCTTCTGATCCTTGCTCTTTTCAGGACAACATGTGGGGCAAGCTGCGACATGTGCTGATTTTCTTCCTCATCATCCTGAATGAACTCAACATGCCGGAAGCTGGCTGCAGGTGTACATCACTATGTATCTGCAACCGGCAGGGCCTCACACACATACCTAAGGACCTACCAGCATCTATCTCTAGGCTGTATTTCGCCGCGAATAAGATTACATCTGTAAGTCAGTCAGATTTCTGTCATGTACCAAAGCTTAAGATGTTGGACCTGTCCTCAAACCAGTTGACTGACATTCCTAAAGGTGCATTCTCCAATCTGTCCCAGCTTGAGAGGTTGGTCCTGCCTGGCAACAAATTAACTGCCATTAAATCTGGTACATTCTCAAATCTACCAACGCTCCAAAAATTGAGGCTGGACCACAACAAAATTACTAAGATTCAGAATGAGGCATTCTCAAATCTAGCAAAGCTCCTAGATTTGGACCTGTCCAACAACCAATTAACTTGCATTGATAATGGTGCATTCTCAAATCTAACCAAACTCACACACTTGTGTCTGTGTTCTAATAGATTAACAATCATTAATAATGGTGCATTCTTAAATCTACCCAAATTCCAGGTCTTGCGTCTGAAGTACAACCTACTTACTTTCATTAATGATAGTTCATTCTCAACTCTATCCCAGCTCCAGTACTTGCACCTGTCCTTCAACCAATTAGCTTTCATTGATAGTGGTGCACTCACAAATCTGACACAGCTCATCTTCTTGTCTCTTCACGGCAACCAATTAACTGACATTCAGCCTGGTACATTCTCAAATCTACCAAAGCTCCAAACATTGAATCTGGAGAATAACAAGATAACTTATATTCATCTTGTTACATTCTCAAATCTACCCAGGAACAATACTGTGAAAATTGGCAAGAACCCCTGGAAATGTGACTGCAGGATGGCTCCAATCAGGCAGAAGATGACAGGGTCTTTACCATTTGAAGATCAGATAATATGTGCACAACCTGATAATCTCAAGGGGCAAAAGCTTAAAGAGGTAAATCTGATTTGTAAAGAGACTACAACAAAATTATATCCTTTGGCCTCCACAAAGCTTGCTACATCTAGGTTGCCTAATTCTTCATCTGCTGAGTCTTACAATCATGTTCCCATTGATACCAAATCCACCTCTCGTGCTCACTGGTACTTCAAATGCAATGCTGACCCCACACTCTGGCCTGTAGGAGCCACACTGCCTGTTGGGACAAACAAACCAGAAAGCAGCACTTCCCACACATCTGCTCCCAGTTTCCCCTCAACTCCCGTCATTGCCGCTATCGGTGGTTTGGTAGCTGCCATTGTCCTGATTGGTTCAATCATTCTCACAATTTGGTTTAAAAGAAGGGCCAAGAAGCCTGCACCAGACCCAGTTGGCTTGGATGTCGGAAATCAGCTGTCCGCCTTACAGTCCAATCCTATGTATGAAGGTGTAGAAAGTCTAGGTCTAGGTCCAGGGCAACCTGTCAAAAAGAATCTTCCTACCATACCTACTGCAGCTAAACGTGAGCTTCCCCCAATTCCCACACCCCCCACTGAAGCCCTGCCCGGTATCTCACAGCCTCAACTGTATGAAAATATGGACACCTCATAAGACCTCATAACAGAACCCCAACCCAGAAGGTGCGGGTCTATTTGGCCAGTCTACTAAGAACAAGGCCCTTACAACAGTCAATCAAATCAAACCCTCTAAAATTGACCAACCCCCACTTCCCCTTTAGGGTATTGTCACCCTCAAACGTCTCTCAGAGCCTAATCTGTACAAAGCTACAGGCTCAAGGCTGTAAAAAGAAGACTCCTAGTCCATCTAAAAAGTGTGACTAAGCCTTTGGATGCTAGAAATCCATATTATGACAAAGGGCGATCAGCAGGCAAGCTTACTATACACATGTGGAAACCTCACCAAAGGAGCCAATCTCAGGTTCAGTGAAACCTGCAAAGAAACAAGATCCGTGGTCCAGCCAACAAGAACATTCCTCCTAACCTAGAGGACTGGCCTTAAAAATGTCTATTAAAAATTACAACAGGTTCCTTCATGTCCTTGGTGCTGAAATGTATTTCCACTATCTAAACATCACTGGAACATGGCAATAATTTGCAATGCTGAACATATGATTCCTTTTACTACTATGACAATGATAAGGTGTAGCATATCAAGGATACTATGATGCATTTGTTTCCAACACCAAATGATAAAAAGCATCAAGCAATGCCTTGCCATAGTGTTTAGATGTTCTTCAGATTTTAGTAGTACATACTTATCAGCATGTCAAGACAAATTAAATTGGTGTGGCCTTATCAATATCATTAGATTTACTTATGAACCCCAACCCAGAAGGTGTGGGTCTATTTGGCCAGTCTACTAAGAACAAGGCCCTCTAAAGATGACCCTCCCCATTTTCCCTTAGGGTATTGGCACCCTGAACCGCCTCTCAGAGCCTAATCTGTATAAAGCTACAGGCTGAAGGCTGTAAAAAGAAGACTCCTAGTCCATCTAAAAAGTGACTAAGCCTTTGGATGCTAGAAATCCTCATTACGACAAAAGGCGATCAGCCTCACAGGCAAGTTTACTATACACACAATTGTGGATAAAGAAAGATAAATCCTTAAAACAGCCCCCCCCCCGTAAATTCTGTAAAACAATTACATGCCTTAAGAGTGCTAAAGATTAAGGATGCATTGTGGAATTCAACATGTAGCACACTGTGTATAAAGCAACAAATGCCAGCAAAAGTACACTTTTAGTACTAATCTATTTTGTTTTGTGAATTGTAGTCAGTGAGAGTCAGTGGAGTCACAACTGAAAAATGTCTATTAAAAATTATAACAGGTTCCTTTATGTCCTTGGTGCTGAAATGTATTTCCACTATCTAAACATCACTGGAACATGGCAATAATTTGCAATGCTGAACATATGATTCCTTTTACTACTATGACAATGATAAGGTGTAGCATATCAAAGATACTGGGATGCATTTGTTTCCAACACCAAATGATAAAAAGCATCAAGCAATGCCTTGCCATAGTGTTTAGATGTTCTTCAGATTTTAGTAGTACATACTTATCAGCATGTCAAGACAAATTAAATTGGTGTGGCCTTATCAATATCATTACATTGTACTTATGAATTACATGTGAAAAGGATACACCCATATCAATTCCAGCTGTCCCAGGGCTGTATAAAAAAGAAAAAAGGAAAAAAAATAGAAACTCCACAGAGTGCACAAATTGTCAAAGACCACACAACAGCAAAAACATTGTATGACATTGTTAAGTTCAATATGGAAAACTTAATAATAAATTTAGATTCACTTGAAGTTCCTCAAAACATAGTCCTATGAGGCTTTATAACATTGTACCATCTTAATAGTACTGGTAATACTTTTGAATAAAAAAGCGGAGGATTGGAACTTACTGAATATCTTTGAGTTCTTGCCTCCTTGTTTGAGTGCTTGAGCTCCAAAATAATTTCAGTGCTCCTGATTTCAAGATAAATAGCAGTAGATACACCTTTTCCTGGCGAATTAATTTTTGGTCCCGATGTATGTGTAAACAAGCAAGAGCACTAGTGTGTTTTATAAACAACTCTAGTAGGCTATTGTGATGTGGATACCGGTACATCATATGTGGCCTTGACTACATTGCACTTCTAATGGTGAGATCAAGAGACGCATAACCCAGCTTACATCATGCTACCAGTTTGGTTATGTTCACAGGGAAGTCTATACCTCAGCTCTGAATTTCAACTAGACCTTTTGATCAGTAAACAAGAAATATGTCACAATCTCCTTGTAAGTAGGTTGTAATGTCTGAACACAACTGCAATCTAGTTAAAACATCCACTGATATCCATGATCTGTGTACATGTTGGAATGCTAGGACTAGTAGGAGATAAAATGCATACACTTCTAGCAGCTCCTAAAACTTTTTCAGACAAGGGAAAAAAATTGCAGAGACCACTTTCAGTTCAAATGATTTTCTTCATTCATGTGGAGAAAGATTGTACAGTAGTTGAGATATGCAAGTCACAGTATGCTAGGATAAATCTCTAACAGATATAAGGATCAGTTGCAGTGTTTTACAACATTTTGTACATCTTTAGTGGGATTCTTACATCTTCTTGGAGATAATGCTTAGATTAACAATAGTCCACATTGCTATTTTGGTCCATGCTAAAACTACATGGTACAACAAATTCTCTTCAATAAAACTGCTTGATATTGGCACAATGCACAGCAAATTTTGCTGTTCAGGATTTTATCTGCAGTTCTACATCTGAATAAGAAACAGTTTTAACCAAGGACAGCCCAGTACTGTCTTTACTATTCTTATTCCGTCAACAACTGGTAGTTCCTGTAGTGTTGGAGGGCCTTTAGTTCTTTTCTGCACACTTGAAACACTGAACACAACAGCTCAGAATTTGTACAAGATTTCATAATATGGAGTGCTTACTTACAAACACCATTCTCTTCTAGCCTTTCTCTGCTTGCTTAGTGTTAGTTGAACACAAACTGCTGTAGTGCTTGTACAACTGTGCGGCCCATGGGCAACAGAAATGGTGGTAGGCACTGCCCAACACACCAAAAGTTGTGGGAAGGATTCTAATTGGACTAATTCTCTTCCAGCCATTGCACGGCTCTAATACTGTCAAACTGCTGTCCTTTTAGCCTGCCAAAGAGGTAAAACTGGGAGGTCTCTGGAAAGTCCCACTCGTACTGTCTGCCATCTACGGTGACGACCACGGGTAGAGTGGTGAGACTGGGCTCCTCCACGGGCCAGGGCAGACCCAGGTGATGCCGGTGCAGTTTGAAGAGCTGTCCGTCATTGCAGCTCCATACCACGCCCTCCACCTGAATGAATGAGTAAATAAATCAATGAATGAATGGTTTATTTGATCATTTTGATCCAATCAAAAGCACATCGCAAGCCATAGGCTGATTTGAGCACTTTCGACATATTTATGTCTACTGAAGGAAAACATTGTTTTTGCTGTACTCAATTTCTTCCTCTCCAAACACTGACCTCTGCCCTGATTTGTTGATGTCTGTCACCATGGTAACTGGTGTTGGGTTACATAATGTTGCAGTTTCATAATAGGACGGATTTAGACTCCTGTAACCATACATGTATATACGAATGTGTTTGAGCAACAATTAACAGATCATACCATATGTGAAGGTAAACATTATGTATTTGCTTTGCAAATGTTACTTTTATGGTTAAAAACTACATGTATTATTATAGCACTAGGCTCTTTACCAATTAGCACTAATCTTATCTTTGCTATTTTTGCTATTTACCTGACCCGCGGGGGTGGAGAACCACTCTGCCAGTTCCTCATGATCGAACGGCGGCGGCGTGTCGAACTTCAGCGCGCCGTGCGGCACCAGGAGGTGGATCGGACGCTTCTTGCCGCCCAGGCCGTACGGATTCGCGTTCACGTTCGTGCCAACAAGCTCCAGCGTTTGCCCCAACAGTTCCTTGAGTTTTACCGGCGTGATTTCCAACGTCTTACCATCGTCCTGTCTCCTCCGGAGAAGTAATGCTACGCCACGGTCTAAGTCTGCGGAAGCCAGGTGCCAGCAGTGGCTACGAGAGTCCTTCAGCACGGGAACCCAGCCGGGAATGTGGCCGCTGGCGCTGGGCTGCAGGCGGCCGTCGATCCTTCGCACCCCTCGCGCTGGCTCCCAGTGCTCTGGCGGCTTCTTCAGGTCCTTCTCCACAGTCCAGGTGAACGTTGGCTCCGCACCATCCTTGTCTCCCATCTCCCAAGCCTGGTGGGCGCTTTGGAACCTCTTGAACCTGTAACAATGTACATCAATAGTGTTGTAATGTAATGTAATGTAGTGTTAGATGTTCAAGGGTTAGGTGTAACAAGTCGTTCGGTGTAATTGTAGCCAGCTCCCGCCGCGCCGCGTGCCTGCGAAGCTGGTGTGTTATGCCGAAGGGCGGTAATACCGGCTATACATATTCAGGTAACAATGTATATAGATAGTGCCTGCATGGGGGTGGGTGATTACGAATTACGCAAAATTTTCGCTGCTGATTACGAATTTCGTTAAAGTCTCAGAGCTGATTACAACTTAACGCTTTGCGCCAAATGTACTAATACGAATTACGTTGATTTTGGGGGAGGCTGCCTATGGATTACGGAGAATAAAAATGCCTGATTACGCCTTACGAAGAAGGGCATGCAGGGCCCCTATCAGTTGGTGGCCCCCCACTGCTACATTTTCATCGCAATCAGACGTGAGTTTGTCACAAACCTCTTCTCGGCCTGTTTGTTAGGTTTGACGTCGTGCCGGGCCCACAGCCAGGGTTTTCCCCGGAACTCCTGCACGTACACGCACGTCCCGTCCACCTGTAGAAACAAGAGGAGCCAGTAAAACCCACAACCTCCCGGGCCACAGTCAGACACTCTAACCACTCTGCTAAAAGGTCTAGACCCATCAGCCGGGTCAGTTGGCAGTGCCTATAAAGCCCCCACTGTTACACTACTCCCCCTTTTCTTTTCAAGCGAATTCGACATCCCTGGAGCGGCACTCTTTGCCAGAACTCCCAGGGCCGGTGTGGGAACCACTGTAAGAAACAACCTTATGGTTCCGGGCTGGGGTTCGAACCCACAACCTCCTAGGCCCCAGTCAGACACTCTAACCACTCCGCTAAAAGGTCTAGACCCGTTGGCTGGGTCAGTTGGTAGCGCCTATAAAACCCCTCACCTTTACACTACTCTCCCTTTTCTTTTTTTTGAATCTTCTGAATTCGACATCCCTGGAGCGGCACTCTTTGCCAGAACTCGCAGGGCCGGTGTGGGAACCACTTTAAGAAACAAGAGGAGCCAGTAAAAACCCGGGCCGGGGTTCGAACCCACAACCTCCTGGGCCACTAATCCTAGATTAAACCTTGATACCTTGATAGAGGGTTTGCATGCCCTTTTTCGTTAACCGTTATGGGCTATTTTAATTTACCGTTAATCGTTGCCGGCCCGCTCTAATGCAACGTTAAGCGTTATCAGTATATTCCTCGTGAAGCGTTATGGGTCGTTTTAATTCAACGTAAAACGTTATTTGTCATCCTAAATTCAGCGTTAAGCGTTAATGAATAATTCTTCGTTACGCCTAATTTTGCCTTTCAAAGTGCAGGAAAATGCGTCATTGAAGGTTTAAAAATACAAAATTTCCCGGGGTGGAATGCCCCCGGACCCCCCTACATTGCTCGCGCCTTTGGCGCTCGACTCGCGCTCGGTCCCTTCGGCTCTAGCCAGAACCAGTTTTCCCTTCAATTTTCGGAAGTTTGCGGAGAGTTACAGAATTTTTTTAACGAATCCGTCAACCTTGACAGGCAAATTAACAAAAATCTTTAGTAAAATATGAAAACATCAGAAGGACCGACAAGCACTCTCAACACCATGATTTGCCTCTCAAAATGCGGGAAATTGCGTTTTTGAAGGCTTAAAGATCCTTAATTTCCCGGGGGAGCATCCCCCGGACCCCCCTAGATTACGAGCGCCTTCGGCGCTCCCCTCTCAAAGTCCATCGGTAAAACTGGGCAGACTGAAAAAAATACAAGCTGGCCGACGTCGATTCGGACACCCCGGTATTTGTGGGCGCACTCGGGGACCAGGGCAGGTGGGAAACATAGGGAACACATACCTTTAATGCATGCTTCATTACATGTACGGTATACGTAATTTTGTCAGTGATTACCTTTTCTCGATCACAAAGCGCGATACCAAATCCAGTGCAGCTCGAAAAAAAGCCTGTCAATTTACCGTTAAGCGTTGCCGACCGTCCTGAATTTACCGTTAAGCGTTATCGGCCCTGCTGAATTTACCGTTAACCGTTGCCAGGACCCCCCCATGCAGACCCTCTTGATACCGTCTACAGTCGAGTAAGGCTTCTTCCTGCCTGTCGTGGACTGGTCTAGTCGCTTCCCTCGTACTTCAGGTGCTCCCAGTGTCGATCCAATCTTGTTTTGAACTGGTTGACAGAATCACTGGATACTACACTCGACGGCAGCGAGTTCCAGTCTTTGATGACCCTCACACTGAAAACATTAAAAAGCTGAAAGGTCTAGACCCATCAGCCGGGTCAGTTGGTAGCGCCTATAACCCACACACACACACACACACGCACACACACACACTGTTACACACCTTTTCCGACGCCGCGGACTTCCGGACGTTCGCCTCGAGCGCCTGGGCGGTGAGCTGGTTCAGTGCGCCGACGTGGTAACTCTGGTCCTGCCGCTTGGAGGACTGTCTCTGCAAGACGGCGGTCCTAAACACGCAGGGGATCTTCTCTTGCACGCTGACACGTTCAACCATCGTGGGGGAATGTTTTCGATGTTTTCAGAATGAAGGAAAGCTTCTTGTTTGTCAGTAAATCAGTAAAGTGCTCTTGGAAACCTTGCAGTATAACATACGTCCTCGTGAGTCTAGTAAATGTCGTCTGGTGGCATATGGACGCCCCCCTCCCCCGCAGTTTCTTCCTTGAAAAATGGTTGCAGTCTCGCCATCTTCTCTTGCACGCTGACCCGCTCAGCCATCGTGGGGGAATGTTCTCAGAATTAGAAGAAGCTCCTTTTTGTCAACAAAGTGCTCTTGGAATCCTTGCAGTATAAATTTACGTCCCTCGTGTGTCCAGTAATATGTCGTCTGGTGGCACGGACGCCCCCCTCCCCCTTCCTTGAAAAAATGGTTGCAGTCTCGCCCTTAACGTTAATAGTCCTGTCATTTACGAAGCTGGACCTCTCCGTACCTTGTAAATGTTCAGTCAACGTTGGCACACTTTAGGGCGTTCAGTTATGCCATAATTGGAGGAAAATCTGTAGGCAACATCGCCCAATTATGCTCCTCACGTCGCCGGGTCTCGTTCCCAGGTCAGTACGCACCGAATCTCGGTCACAAGAGCGTGACGTCAAGCGCGCCAAGTTCGAATCGGCGTTGTAATCCGTCGCTATGGTTACTCTACATTTGTGTTGCTCAATATAAAGTCAATATACTAGTAGTCTATTGTGGAAAAAACAAGCACCAGCACTGAAGAAAACATTGACAGAAGAGACCAATAGCTTCAAAAGTCGAGATAAAGAGCCAATTCAAAGAAGCCATATAACGGATGGTGCTGTAACTTCGGATGACTTTTTACTAGTTCGACTTCACAGAGCATGAGCGTGGATTATCAGAAAACCGTTACGTTTTAATTAATGATAAATAAACAGGTTTAACAACTTTTTTGTTGGATGTTATCTGGATCCAGCTTTATCATGAAGTTTATCGATCAATAGTGACATCAGACAACAACATCCAGTTATTAGCTTCCTATAACAAGTCGGTGCCATTTGGAAGACTTCTTGGAAGACTTAATCGGAGGCCTGCGTGCCCTTTTTCAGGCCTTTTTAGTCTTAGTAATCCGTAGGCAGCCTCCCAAAAATCAACGTAATTCGTAATAGTACATCAGCCGCAAAGCGTAAAGTCGTAATTATGAGCTCTAAGACTTGAACGTAATTCGTATTAAATCGGCGTCGAAAATTTTGCGTAATTCGTAATCATACCCCCCCCCCCCCCCCCATGCAGGCCCTCTTAATCAGCAGACGAGATCTGTGCTGGTGTGGTACCATTTCAGACAAAAGACAAACCAGTCAGACTGGTCTTTTTAATTAAATCATTAAAGGACAGACAGCTCAGACAAGACCCTCGTTTGTCAGCACAGGAAGGTAGGAGGTTCTGCCTTGTTTCTTTCATGATTTGTGCTTTTTTTCTCAGTTATAACATTTTGCTGCATGTCTACATACTAGTATGCATTTATGTACATGTACGACTATAACTAAGCAGCATGTATTTGTGGTGTGAATCGGACTGAATCGTCCTTGTCCAGGCTTTAGTTTAAAAGCGTCTGGAAATAATAGACATTGGCCAAATTAATCTAGATATGTTTCCTTTCTTCTAGAAGACGTTGAAAGTAAATCTTCGACTTTTTTTACTTTACTTATAAGTTACGTCAGTCACCAGAATGTCTGCAGCAAACTTCGGAACCTACACACGGGCCATCGTCCGACAGATCCCGAACTCCATTCGGGACGGCTCGGAGGCCTTCCGAGATCGAGATCGGAAAGCGGTAGACTACGGTCTTCCCATGTATGAGCCAATCGACTTGGAGAAGGCCCGCAGAGAGCACGAGGCATGTTGATCACGATGGTTTCGTATTTTGTCAACTTGGTTTTTACTAAATATACGTTAACCGTACTCAAGATGGGGTCGTGTGGCGTAGCGACAGAGTGCTCGACTCGGAACCGTGAGGTCCCGGGTTCGAGTCCTGATATGCCACCGATCTTGTGCCCTTGGGAAATGCAATTTACACGACTTTTCCCACTTCGCTCAGGTGAAAATGAGTATTGTATTGTCCCTGTGTTGGTGGCGGTATTAATATAAGTTGGAAAAACTTGAGTGTGCCGTCACCACGTCTCTCTAATATAAGTTGGAAAAACTTGCAATTGAGTGTGCCGTCACCACGCGTCTTGTGACTACGTGTTGGGAAAAAAAACCGTACTCAACTCCAGCATGTACTTTTAGAAGACCCGAAAAGGCATGGTTACTTCCCACCTCAATGTCGAGAGGTCTTAATTCTTTTACTGCATTTTATTATGTTTACCGAAGGAAAACATATTCTTTTTTGCTACATCTCCTCTTCTTCTTCCGTTCCAAACACTGACCTCTGACCTGGTCAATGACCTGATATGTTGACGTCTCTCACCATGGTAACTGGTGTTGGGTTACATCTCTCTCTCCTCTATGCCTATGGCAATCACTCGATATCTTTATTTGCAATCAGATACACATTCATGTACAGATACATATTCATGTACAGATACATATTCATGCACAGATACAGATTCATGTACAGATATACAGTAGTACAGATTTTCCGAGTATGATGACCGTGTCAGTCCCTACACCTGAGTGAGGGTCACAGTTGACACGGTGGCCACGGTGGGTTACATAATGTTGTGATTTTGTAGTATAGAGGATTTATACTCCTGTCGCCATATATATATATATATATATATATATATATATATATATATATATATATATATATATATATATATATAGTAGTAGTAGT